CCCCCCTCCCCCCCCCCAAAAAAAAAACTTCTAAAGTCAAATCCAGGTAACCCTGTCATGTATCTGTTATATCAATTTATTTTCTTCATACTCACTGGCCCCAGACAAGCAAAATACCCCAAATCAATTATATAATTAAACTTCTGTGCCCTCTTTAAGTCAATCACGTTCAAATTCTGCACCTTTTACAAGTTATTCCACCAACTTCATTTAATAAAATTCTTTCAACAAGAAACATAAATTATATAAAATTATCAACCACTGAGCAAGTGGCAACGTACTTCCTTCAGAAGCAAACGCCCGAGGGCGTGGAGTGCACCTGAAAATCATCACCTGGATTACGAAAAGCCGCAAGCACCTCGATATGCCAGTAAACTTCTACCACATCCCAGTATCACAGATTTGGAAGCAGATCAACAGCCATCGAACGGAGCTTAGATAATTTTATATCTGATTCTAGTTTGAAGTCATCAATAAGCAGTGCACCAACTATGAAACCTATTAAATCCTGTCTTGTTCATCAACAATTATCCACTAGTACCTGTAATTTCCTCAACAGTACAATCCCATTTCCAGTTATCAGACTCCTTGGAGAGAGATTTTCAACTCAAATTAAATCTAAACTCACCTTCTATACCGATGCGTTCCACTTTTACTCTCTTCTGCATCTGGAAGCCGTTCAGGTCCGAATAGAATTCGGGGGGATCTCCATTGCTGATATCTGTGACAACTCTCATGAAGAGCTCCGTCTCACGGTTTTTGGGTGGTGCCTCAAAGTCGATGGTATTCTCTATGTAGATTCCCTCGCTGAGGGGTCCTGCTGCGTGATAGATGCGAACGGTGTGCGCGAGGATCGGGTTGTAGACTACGGAAAGCTCTGATGCGATCGGACCGGACGTGATGACGATCTGGATGTCACGGTGGTTCTGGCCGTCAATGGAGCCAAGGATGTCCCTTTCAGCCTCTCTGGAGTTCGGATCTGGCATGAAGAGATACGCGCCACTGTGAAACTGTGCCGAGGGGTACGCTGCAAACTGGAGACCGCACTGCGTCGTGTGGCCCGTAGTTTTGCGAGTGACGGCTTTCAGAAATCCTGATCTGCCGTCAAACAGAAGTTTCATCCTATAATTCTCAAGCTGGATATCACCAGTCTGCATGCCCTTAACTTCAAATGGTGGCACATAACTTGCATCGCCTACGTTTCGGCCGCAGGATGAACAGTACACCACCGATCTTGCCTGGAAATTCTTTTCTGCCACTCGCTCAACAATGTAAGTAACAAGTGACACGGGCGGGAGATCCGCCACAAACACCACCTCAAACAAGTCCTTTGCCATCTGCAGGACGCTCTCGATCTTTTCGGCGCCGCCTTCGCCCGTCTCTTTGTTTGCGTCCCTCGGAACTCTGGCACTGTGCGTGAGATTCCAGACAGGATTAACCTGGTACGGAATGATATTTCCTTCGGAATCCAGCACCTTAACATGTGGAGTTGTCACCCTGATCTTCACAACATCCTGTCTCTGTTGTGCCAGAGAGTTGAAAAGAACGATCCTCCGGGGTTCATTTCTTGGCACCACCAACGGAACTTTCTGAGGAAGTTTCTCGTACGATTCTCTGTCTGTGTCGGGCAGAAGGAAGTTCATAAATGGCTGTGATGGTCTATTTGATAAAACTTTGTTCCAGCTCACTTCTCTCGACAAACCGGACAACGGCGCATCTTTGACGAGCAACACTTGCGCACAGCGTTGTTGAATGAACAGTGTATCCTGGATACCTTCAAACATCTTCAGAGCGTAATCATGCATGACAAATGACTTAGAAGTCCCTGTTATGGCGTCATGGTGTTGGAACAGTGCCAATGACTGCCTGGCCTTCGTGATCCTCTCATAATCTCGCTCCAGGAGCTGAACTGTCTTATTAAACCCATGTTGCCTTGCTCTGTTTAAAGCCACCGTGTACAGAATCTCTGCTGATCTCAGGCTGGCTTCCAGTTCTCGGTCTAGTACCTTCCAGTACGGTCTTGTAGTAAAGTAGCCGCTCCAGTACGCCGGCCGGCCTTCTGCAAATATATCGCTGTAGACAAAGAAGTCTCCTTTCAACGTCTGGAAGTTCTCGCTTCGTTCCCTGACGGCTGAAAAGTAGTCCGAAGGCGTGCCAAACGATACCTCCGCATGATACTTGTCCTTGTTCTGATTTATGTAGTCGAAGAGCATCTTGTAATTGCTGTACTGCTGGTTCCACTCGATGTCATGGTCAAATCTGAAATCGTCGCCCAGCGGCATCAAGACGACGTTGTGCGAAAACAGGGAGCCGGTTCGTCCGTACTGCTCAAGTAAGAGCTCTGCTTTCTGCTTCACGTTGAACTGGTCTATTGGCACAGCACGCAGACTGTACTCTGTGTATTCCCCTGCGAACACATACGAGCGCTGTTACCATTTATACTGAAAAAGGACTGACGCATTCATTTTATTCTTCCTTTATTAAACTGGAGTTGTTCTAAAACATTGTCTCTCACCCCCCCCTGTGTCGATACAAGGCAACAAAAACCCTGAAAAATAAAGAGACTGAATTAATCAGTTCCTGCCTCGTGAGGAGCCTGCATAAGAAGGACACCGCAGTGCATGCCTTGGGTGAGATCTGAATCCAGGATCCTAGCAGTCGAACGGTCAAGGTCTACACTAAGACTGCGCGACAGCCGTGTCTGGCGGAACGCAAAGTGTCACAAGATAATTTTTAAACTGACATTCCGAAACTTGGGACAAACCAACTGCAGAGTTTCGGCAAACGTAGTTTGGGAATCTCTGGGGCCGAATGAGGAAACAGGACAAGTGACATGACATAGCTTCTCTGATGTTGGCGTCTGGTACCGTCAAGAGCTGGACGGAATGAGGAAACAGGACAAGTGACATGATACAGCTTCTATGATGTTGGCGTCTGGTACCGTCAACAGCTGGACATGCAGATGTTGCACAGTGATAGGCTGAAACAGATTCGAAGCCGCTACTGCTGTCAGCTCCTTGCATTTCATATGATTTCAGTTGTGCTGTCGACAGGCCACCATTTGTAACGACCCTGCTGATTGACTGACTCCAAAGAGCAGAGTTCTTGACTAGCTAACAGTACCTCAGGTCGCCTATGCATTTCCCGACTCTTACGGAACTCCAATAAAGTTCACTGCTGTATCCACAAGACTCGCACTGGTTCGTATCAGCCAGATTATCGCTATCATATAAAGGCACCAGAAGCATTTATGAAAGAAGGGTTGAGGGGTGTATACAAATGATTTAGACTGGAGCTACGATTTCGACCCGGCAGGTCCGCTGCCTTGGTGTAATCCGAGTGTTGACCTCGACGGTCATGTGGCTGAGGCCGTGGGAAGGGCCGAGGGCAGCGTCATTTAGTCCCACAAGACAGTAACCAGTCTGACAAGCGATGCAGAGCGACTACCATGGGGAGAGATGGACCGCAGTCCTCCCACACCCGCTCTATTCCCCCGACCTGGTACCAAGTGACTATGCCCTCTTCCGTGAGATGAAGAACCCCCTGCGTCGTCACAGATTCCCCGACAGTGACGCCTTATATGATGCTGTCAGGGAGTGGGTACGAGACACCCCCCCAAACAATGGTTTCGTGAGGCAATACGGAAATTGCCAGAGAGATGGCAGCGGTTACTGGTTCATTTCGCCACACACTTTCATTGCCGATATCATAGACTGTTGAATGGTTGTATGATTAGCGAGTAATAAATTAGGTACAATGTACGAGGGGCTTGAACATGTAACTAGCGCGAGTGAAATAAGGAATACAAATTTATTTTGGCGAGAAACCACAACGGTGTAGACTACCACTTGGGAAGTCGATAAGGCGGAAGGAACAGCAGCGTAAGTGCCCATACGTGAGATGGATCTGAGTGAAATGAGGTTGTGACGTTGACATTGGAAGTGGTCCAGCACAAATCTGCGTACCTGGTATCTTCCGGAAGTCGAAATTGAGGCAGACCTGGGGGTGGGGGCCGCAGGAGTGCTTGATCGAGTAGATATCGAAGGGCTGGTTGTGCGTCAGTAAGTCTGTGTGTCCGTCGGGATCCCAGTTCTGTCGCCACAGGAAGTCTCCCATCTGTCGCTCGGCCAGCCACTGCTTCCAGGCGTAATGGATGCGCTGGATGACCGTGCCCGAGATTCCCGACATCTTAAGCAGGTATGGCACAGTGGAACCATGCCCAAATGGGTCAATGGACCAGCCTGATTTGGGCGAGAGCCCCAGGTTGTTCTTCACCCACTGGTGCCCTGAAAGAAGTCCAAATTGGTGTCTAAAATATACAAATTTCATTTCATTTCTTTTTTAATATCACATGTTTTGTGCATATTTTGTGGTTCCATGTTTTCGGGTCCTCTGGCTTTTATCATTTTAGGCACTCGTCAAGGACACAAGAGTTTCGCTTCACAGAGTTGAGGAGGAAACCGGCCAGCCAGGGGCAAACAGACTTTGCTCCGGCTGGCTCTCGCCCTAGACCGGCGGCCTTCCTGTCAGCTCGGAATTAGAAAGTTAACAACATTCGGCCCTCACCTTCTATGAGTTGGTCCAGCATGCCGTAAATGTGCGTGGTAGCTTCGTCCGTCATTACCCAACCACCTGTCATGATTTCCAGGCGACCCTCAGCCAACAAATTCCTCACTATCCGTCGCTTTGTGGGGTGTGCACTGCAACAAGGCAGAACGAGGGTCAGGCGACAGAGTCAGGTCATTCGACACATTAACCACAGTTCCAACCGCCGCTGTGTGTGGCGCTGCTGGAACTGCGTAAGGACGCACGTCAAATATATTCTTTTCTGTGTCGACGTGCACTCGGAAGTACAAGACTCGCTTAGTTTTCTAGTGACTTAAGGAATGAAATGTTAATTTATAAGATCTGACGCTACTGAGGGCATTATAACTGAAGATAATCGAGTTCTGAAGAAGATAAACTTATCTAAGACTCTCTGCAGTGTTAATTTTCTAGTGATGTGTAGTGAAATCGACTTTCCTTTGTTACGTGACGTGGTGATATTTTATTTGGAGTGTACTGTACGCGTTCTGGTAAGAGAGACTCGCTCCGAGGTTCCAATTCAGAAAAGTTCAGCGGCCAAAAGCGCTGGAGCGCAGTATACGTGACCGATCTACGACGCTGGAAGCCAGAATGGTCCATGGCACAATATTCGTGCTACAACGGCCTAAGGCTTCGTCCTCCCTGCAGAGGCCGCGTTCTGGCCTAGTGTTTCCCGCAAAATGTTTATAAGAACTTGCGAATCCATTCGGGACTCTCCCCCCAAGTTATATCAGAGACGCAAGGGGTCATATATAAGACGTTCAGAATCTTTAAGCGTTGTCAGGAAATCTGATCTTCATACGACAGGAGAAGGGACTCTGTGGGAAGAATTCCGACGTTTCGAAAGGCAACAAATTCTGTTCTGACATAATCATTAAACGTGACGTTTCGGAGCAACACTCTGGACCAAATCCTGCGTGTTGTTTTCAAACTGAGGGTTGGGCGTTGGAGCCCACGTGACTGACCTCTCCCACCACTGCGAAAAGAAAGAGATCTCCGTCCAGATGAATGTCATGTTTCGGAACTCCTGCAGGTTGTCCACCATGTTGTTGAGAATGTTCTTGGTCTGGTAATGGTAGTAGTTCTCGTAAGTCTTCACCCAGCCCGGGTCGTTATGCGAGTGGGGCACCAGGAACACCTGTAGAAATACCCAAAAAGGTCAGAGGCCTCTCTGAATCTTTCTCGGGCTACCAGCCGTGGTTGAAAGGTGGTTAACTAAAGAACCACCTTCGTCCTCCCAACATCGGGGTAGCCCGAGAAGAATTCATTGTACGAGCATCACAGAGATACTCCACGAACCACTTACAGACTGACATCTGTTGGCCAAAATGTTCTCTTTTTAACTGCAAGATCTCATAAACGTCTTCAAAGACTTCTCTATCCCTTTAGGCGGTCTAAACAGACTCCAAATTCACTCCTCCCTCCCGCTTCCATGCCTTCTACCCTTCAAAATGAAGAACACGTGTTGGATAACTTCTGAAGTATAATTATAAGATCGATACTGTCCGTGCAAGAAAATCGATTTACTTGCGATTTAGAATGCCGCGTGCTGCCATCTACGAGTACCAAGAGACACCAGCGCTGGTTTCAGTGAACGTAAAACATTACGCGGTCTTGACTTTGCCACTGATTTAAGCCCGAGAATCAGACGCATCGTTTCATTAAGCTCTGTAACTCAGATCCACACATTTTCCTCGGGGACCCTGTTCTGAAACACCCCCAACAACACGGAGTATGAAGCCGGTACTTTCTTCCGAAACGGGAGTGAGCAGTTCAAACTTCCAACTACGCCTGCCATCATCCTGTCAACTAGCGCTCCTTGTGGCACAAGCGCGTACTTCATCCTCCACCAAAAAAAACAACAGAAGTACGCAACACGAAAGAAAAACGAGACGGCGTGCAGGTGGGGAGACCGTGTGTCCCACGTAACCTCAGTCAAGACGCACTTACCGGAACTCGCGGCGGTAAGAGGAACTTTTTCAGAACTTCTATAAGCAAAACCACATCTTCATAAAATAAATAAAAAAAATTCTAGTTTCAACTCAGATTGTCGAGGTCACATCTTCATAAAATAAATACGCTCACCCAGCTTTCAGGGAACAAACTTCAACGAACGGAACCTTGTAAATTACAAAGGATGACCGCGGTTTGATTCACGCCAGGCAGACATATTTTTATCTCCTAGGTAGCACTCTCGGTCCACCCAGCATCCTATCAAATCAATACCGCGCGTTTCCTTTTCAGGGATAGAGAAATCAGTAATTTTTCTTCCTACGTCTTCCAAGAAAAGTGTTCAGTGGAACTCGATGTGCCATGGCAACCGACCGTCCATTGTACATTCTGTGTTATAAAGTCAAAGCCCCCACAAGTCCTTACGATTCAACTCGGAAGTTACAAAAGCGTGTGAAGCTATAATCGATTCTCAGTGAATCGATATCTCGCTGAGTTATAAAGTTACTTACGTCACGTATTCATTAAGCATTCATTCGCGTCTCTTTTAATTAAGAGCAGACATATTGGTGCCTTTAATTAAGAGACTTGTGGCATAAGAAATTATAATCAGCGAACGGTGAGGAATACAGCCAAGTTTCGAATGACTAAAATTATGACGTAAGCCTACGGCTTACGTCACTTCCGGTTCGGTACTCGTTAAAACCTGAAGCTCTTGATTTTTTGTTGAACGGAGAGAACAGTGAGGCTGATTTTGTCTGTCTTTATTAATTGACTTGTTATGTTTAATCTTCCGGACTATCCGATAGATTTTGATGAAAACTTACTATTTTAATATTATTTTTCCGTTCTGACGTGCTATAACCTACAACTTTATAACAACGAATTGTGACTCAGAATAATATTTTAGACTATATTCGATTAACAAATTGAAATTATAATTGGTATTAAATAAAACCACGTGAAGACGGTGAAATTGAACGCTGTGGAGATCCTTAAATCATGACGTATCAACTACGGAGGATACTGGCGACTGGCGGTAGAGTTCACTAAGTCTACTTAAAGTAAGTAAGCCTCCACGTGTGTTCTTCCCCGCTTTAGGGTTCCTCAGCGTCGCCCCCGAGAGAGAGAGGACACCCGGACACGAGGGTATTTCTGCCTTCCTGGCGGATCCCTCCCCCAAAAGCTTTCGTAACCTCGTCGTGTCTCAGTCATTCATCACCTCCTTCGCCCGCTTCAGTCCACGCGCTCAAATATTCTTCAGCGCTGCCATTTTATCCTATTTTTCAGACTCGCCCTGCTTCCCCGCTGCACAATTTGCAAGCAGAAGATAAACACGGCCCCTCTCTCTCTGTCTTTCATCGCGTTATGGATTTTAACGTCACTTCCGGTGCAAAGAACGTCGTCCAGGAAACCGAGACACCGATGGCAGCGCTCGTGTGACCCCGGACAAAAGCAGGCGAAGACGTCAATCAATAAAAGAGACGCCCGGTGTTTTACACCCCATCAAATTTGGATCCCAGGGCGGAACGACGCCTTCGTCACGCGACTACAAAATTATCGAGGCTCACGTCTGACCTTCAAATGACGAGACAAGGTCACTTCTCACTTTCACTCAGATCAAACCGCAAGACGACGAATTTCCGTCCCTGGAAGGTGACGTAACGTGACATCCATTACTGCATGTACACACCAAAAGCTTTGACGTGACCTTGAAATAAACGGTGACGAATATCAACCATTTCCATGCTACATACGAGATACCTCGTTCTAAACTGACGTGCTTTTGTAACGCTGCGTCCAGTTCAATTGTTACTTTGCACTAGAAATCACACGTTGCAATGGAAATTAAGTACCAGGGCAGGACAGGAGGGCCGTCGAGGTGGCCGGCTGATCGCCGAACCTCTCTCCATCACCCACACTCGCAGAGGAGTCAGCGAGTCTCTTCGAAATTCACGACGAGCAACACCGAATCCCGGCAGACGTGTCCACTATCTCGTTCAGAATGACCGCGAGACGTCAGCCTTACGCTCCGGACGTCTTAACCCCGGCATCCATCGGGCATGACAATCACTCGGCTTGATCTTGAAGAGAGTTCTCCGCCTCGTAATGTTTTCGACGAAATTTCGCTGAATTCGGCACGAAACCCATTGGTGAAGTTCAGTGAGTTCACTTGTCTACTCTGACGTCCGAGGTCAAAGGATTTCGACATGTTTCCAGAGCGAACTCTTGGAAGCTGGTAAGAAATAAACAGCCCTTCGTCCTAGACCTGAATCCTGTCTCTGAAACTGGACGTAACCCTACCACCGAGCGAGATGTTTTCTCCGACACGTGAAAGATCTCGTGAGCAGTTGCTCGCTCCAGAATTCTGCAAGAGTCTTCAAACTGGCGAGTAAGCGAACGTCATTACTCTTTGCCTCCGGCCGGTGGAACAAATGGTCTCCTCCACAAGCAGGCGCAGACAGCCGACAATGGATGGTCCCCCAGCCTGAGGTTTTGCTGAATGCTACGCGGCCTTTCACTTGGAATGATCTAGCCCAATGGGGGATCAAAGGTCAGGAGTCAACGGCGCTCATGCGTAAAAGTGGACAGATGAGTCCGGTCGAAACGTCCTTCGCGATGCCAGCGCCAGGCATATTTTACGATGTGGTGAAACATTTTAATTGAGGAAAACGTCTTTGCAATGTCGAGTCGCGTTCCAGGGACCTTCGCGAGTTATATTCTGAAGGAACGGGGCAAACTCTCTGTCTCACGTGGAAGATTAACCTTTTCCAAAGCCGAAGGAACGTAATTGATGACTCCGCGGGGGCGGAACTGATGGATTTTTACGCTGTTAAAAGTAACTACGCCATGAATCGACGAAGTAAGGCAATCCTTCCTTAACTTTTGTAAAGTGTCTTAGGAAACTTGTGAGAACATTTGGTTTCAGAAGCTAAACCGTACACCGAAAGGAGAGATCCCGATCGATAAACCGGAAAAATCTTAGCCTGGCGTGCAAAGTACCAGACGGAGGCCTGAAACTTCGTTCTACGCATTTGGATCTCCGGATGAAGAAGGCGTCACTACTACTGGTCCAGGGTCGAGACATTTAGGGGGCTGATGCCACGGTCTGAGACGTGGGTTCGAATCCCACTCAAGAAACGGATGTTTGTCGGCGTCTTGGAGAGGTTGAAGCCTTGTGACGACGACATGCACCTATAAAAGCGAACTTGTGTGGGCTTACGTAAAAGGCGAAGTGTCCGAACTGAAGATGGCTGCCTTCTGGTGACATAACCCAGAAGAACGCGCTTTGCAAAAAAAAAAAAAAAAATTAACCCTGCGTTGAAGTGGAGAATCTGCAGACAATTAAGCGGGCAAGAAAGGCGACCATGAAACCGCACTCCGTCAGAGAACAAGGGGCCCGCTGTTGAGAGTCGCCTCGGGCGAGTTAATCTGCCTCGTCACGTGGTACCATAGCGTAGAAATGCGGCACGGGGTGGGGGTGGGGGGCCCTTGGGCGAATCTGTGGCTCTCCGGTATTCAACTTAGCCGACCTGGTTTTTCCGCCTGATCCGTCAACATCTGGCTTCCGGGTTTTTGCTGTCCGAAGTATAAACTGTAGCCAGACTGCTGTTACCCCTCCAAATCTAAACTTCTCTCTAGAAAAAAGACGGAAACACGAAATTCGTTTCAAAATAACGCAACAGCGAGTGAGCTGCTACTTATAAAGTAATTTAAAACAGCCGCCGTGTAATTCTGCACAACTGTAGTCGCCATAGCAGCGAGAGCCAACGGGTTTGAGGGCTGGTGTGACCAGTTAGGGAATTTGTTCAAATTTTGATAGAAACTGCCTCCAAAATTGGGGTAAAGAAAAGTGTAGCGACGCTGTGACACCAAAGGGAGTCAATCTTACCCCGGATTCCGGCAAGGGGGGGGGGGACACAGACTGATTCTTGTCCTACGATTGGCGGAGAGTGACCGTGAACTGCAGAACGAAACTCGTCTGAGGGTTTACCGGAAGCCACGATCCGAACCTCGGATTATACTCGTCCGCGCGATGTATCCTGACGACAAGCCTCGTGTTCATAAGAACTAGGCTACCCCAAAACCGGTCCCATAAATCCCATCACCAAAATCCAAAGGCCGAGTACCGAGTTCAGCGAAATTCGCCCAAGACTGTTCATAGACCAACAGATGATGACGGGAGAT